TATGTACCCCAGTAACCTACTATTCAGGTAACTGGAGCCCTATATAGGGATCCTTAAACTCGAAATCTGTTCTCTAACCCTAAAACCTAAACCCTAAACCCTAAAAGCCCTCAACCCTAAAAACCCTAAACCCTAAAAGCCCTAAGCCCTATAAAAACCCTAAACCCTAAAAGCCCTACACCTTTAAACCCTAGAAATCCTTCAACTCGAAATCTGCTCTCGTCGCAGGGCTGGGCCCGGGCCCTGGCCGGGCCGCCGCGGGGTCAGCGTCGAAAGCCTCAAAGGGCCGCTTCCGCGATGCGCCCTTCACCGGTCCAGCCGGCGGGGAAGGGACTTGTCCATTTCTTTTTGAGGGGTTTCTAGGGTTTAGGGTTAAGGGTTTAGGTTCATGTCTTTGGAGGGGGAGGGTTTAGAGTTCTGAAGGGCTTGCTTTGAATGTCTTTTGCGTTTCGGGTTGCTTCTTGCAATAGCGGTGGCTGTTGTCCAGAAGGGTTTAGCGTTGGTTGGGGACTTGGGTATCTTTTGCGCTGGTTCTTCGACCCATAGATATGCAGAGTTGCTGCTGGTGGTAGAGGTTGGGGATAGTTCGCGAAGTACTCAGTGACTTTTTAAAATTTGTAACCGCTGCTGTCGTACACCGTCGTGCTATGAGGTATTTCAGGCAAGTAGCCACCATAAGCGGTTTGTTTTCAAGACACGGAGGCATTGGGACACTTTGTTACGAATCTTGATACGGGGGGGTTCCGGAAATAGGGGACCCCAATATAGTACCCAAAATAGTAGGATCCTTACATTATAAGGACCCCCAAGAAAGGTACCCTAAACCCTAAACCCTAAACCCTAAACCGTTCGGAAACTCCCATATGGCTCCACAGTGAGATGTAGCCTTCAGTTGTCCCAGAGGCGACCCTCCTCTCGAGCCTGAGTTCCGGCAAAACCCAAGCGGATCACTAGAATGTAGGGGCCTTAAGAATTAGAATAGGGTTTGGTGGTATATCCTACTATAATTATAATAAGGAACTCCCGGTAATGTAGGGGCCTTAATAATTACCAATACTCTTTTTGGGACTCTTTGTTGTACTTATAGTATGATGGGACCCAAAACCCTATTCTAATTGTGCAGGCCCCTTAATATTACCATCCCTGCGAAATCCTATAAACCCTATGGCCCTAAACCCCAATCCCTCCAGGAAGTTTAGGGCTTAAGGTTGGTCCAGGGCATTCATGGCCCGAGTACAAGCTCCTGGTTCAAGAAGAGTGGGATTCAGCGCATTCAGGGCACAAGAGAGCCAACATCCCAGCCAGTGATAATAACTAGTTGTCTAGCTATGTCGAGTTTTGCACACGTAGAGCGACATCGAGTCTTTGACTAGGTAGGCCCTGAAACTTGAAAGCCCCGAAATACCAAAAGCCCAAAGTGCAAAACCGCATCAGGCATGGAATGGATTCATCGTGAGCTCGCCATGCAAGAGGACAACGACGATAGCAACTCATAAGTCGAATATAGTAGCTGCTTCTGCTTCGAACTGATCTGTTTTTTCTGATTGTACTTGCATAAGGCATCGGGTAGTCTATGCCAAGCTTAACTTCAGAGCTGTACTGCAGTTACCATGTTGTCATGTTGGTTTCTTGCGGTGGTGACATACAAAGCACAACGCTGAAGCAGAACAGCACCAGTAGCTCGGCTTATGATGTCACAGGATCAAAAGGAGCATATTTACCCACACCATATAGTAACTCCTACCGTAGAAACCCTACTTTCAACCGTATAAAGGCAATTAGCTTAGACCTTAAACCCTAAACCGATCTGAACCGCTCTAACAAGGGCGCCTGCTCGAAACCTGGGGAGAAAAGGACAGATAAGCCATACTCAATACAGTGACCTTGGAAAATGGTACTAGCATTCCGTCGAATGCCCTGCCGTACTTTTAGCATAATGCCTTAGACACCAGCCCTTGTCTAATCATTCAGGCCCCTATGCCCGCAAACCACCAAAACCCTAAATCCGCACAACATCCTTATACGTGCTCGTATCCAGCCCCTGCATCACACCCCACAAAACCCCAAGCCCTAAACCCATATTAGGTAGCAGTGAAGCCGACGACGAAAAGATTTCAAGAGGGCGACGAGGCCAAATCTGCAGAGCTGATGCCATGGTTTAGAGTTCCTGTGAGGGTTTTGCCGGGGCTGCGCAATGCCGGGTTCTACGAAGGTTTTAGGCTTGCAGAGGGTAGTGTTCGGGGTTCAGGGTCTATTGGGGAGAGGGCTTGAAGGGTTCACTGGTTGTAATTCCAGCCACACATCTGCCCTCGATCATAAAGGCTGGAACCCTTGAAGTAGCAGGAATTGGGGGCCTGGGTTTATAGACGATGACTGGAGTCTAGTGTTGAGGGCTTAGGCTGAACGTACGGCTCAGGGACTAGGGCGGTGCCAGGCCTGCCCTGAATCCCCTAAAGCCTCCCCATACCTTGAACCCCTGATAGAGAGAGAGAGAGCGAGAGAGTGAGAGAGATCGAACAATATAGCATCCCTGAGTCGCTCCTTGTCTATACTCAGTCATAGCCGTGCCTGGGGATATTTGTATGTAGATGTAAAGGAAAGGAAAAGGCACGCACACACACACACACACATGTGTATATGTATATGCACACATGCACGTGTACATACAATACAATACAATACAATGCAATGCAATGCAAATGCAATGCAATGCAATGCAATGCAATGCAATGCAATGCAATGCAATGCAATGCAGTGCAGTGCAGTGCAATGCAATGCAATGCAATGCAATGCAATACAATGCAATGCAATGCAATGGAATGCAATGCAATACAATACATGCAGACAATGCAATACCTTACATAACATTACACTACATTACAATACATTACACGACATTACATTACATTATACTACACTACATCACATTACATTACACTACATTGCATTACATTGCATTACTTTAGATTACACTACAGTACATTGCATTACTTTACGTTACATGCCACACTTACATACTTACATTCATACTTACATACATACATACATACATGCATACATGCATACATGCTACATACATGCATCCGTACATACATACATGCATACATACATACATACATACAAACACATCATATGTGTGTTTTATGCTCATTTTAATGGTGCTGGCTATGTATGCTTTAGGTGTATACATGCATATATACATAACAAGATGAGCTTTAACAGTGGTTGTGACGGATCTTTTCGAGATCCTTTGGCCGAATGCCTAATCATTTTCGTGTTCATGGGCTTTCCGCTTTGGTTAACACCTTACTAAACCCTAAGCCCCAGAGTCTCCGGGCTAGAGGGTTTTTGTGCAGGCTTCGAAGCCGGCTTAGGGCATACTCTTTATGGGGGCAGGGGGGTTTAGGGTTTAGGGATGCAGTTCCCAGGTCCAAAAGATTCAAAATTTAGGGTGTGGGGTTAGGGCTTCGGTTGTTCTGGCTTGGGGCGTATCGTTTCCGTTATCGGCTACGTTTGTGGATTTGTCGCTGCGGCGACTGTTGTAAAGTCATCGTGCGGCTTCGACTGATAAGAAAGGCCTTCGAACCGCAGCACATCCAAGAACCTCATGTGCTAACCTTGGACATCCCAATTTTCACAGCTCCAGCTCGGGCCGCTGTGGTTCAGCGTTCAGGGTTCAACCGGACTGCTGGTCTTTGTTTTTGTTGAAGGTCTGCAGTAAGCTCCGTTTTGTTATGTAGAGGCTCTTTCAAAGAGCCGATCCATGGCTTATAGAATGGACCTCGTCGAAGCAGTCTATACCCCAACATCCTAGGTCCTAAGCCTGGAAATGCATTAAGCTTTGGTCGTCCCACTTCCCCAAGCCATCCTGCGGACGTGAGGGCGTGAGGGCTGGAAACCCCGGAAGTGGGATTAACCGTCATCCACTCTCGAAGCAGTAAACCGAATTCCTCATGCCTAGATCCTGGCCTGAGGTGGGGGCGGCAAGAAAGTGAAGGGCAAAAAAGGCTGCTGGGGGACTTCTATGTGCCCCCTCCCCCATTCTACCATGAGCCTGATCATGGGCCCCGGGCCTCGCATAGAATAGCCACAACTTCCTGTATAACCCGCTTGGACTTATAGGTGTGCTCTTTTGTGATCAGGTGCGAACGACTGCATACCCAAAGTTGATGAGGTTTAGCATTTCACTATCATTATTGTATCTCCGTTTCTCTCTCTCTCACTCTCTCTCTCTCTATATATATATATATGCCTACGCATAGACATATGCAGTGTAAACATACATATATACATAAAAGACATCTCTAAACTACACAAGGAATGCATACATCTGTTTCTCGCTCTCTCTCTCTCTCGCTCTCTCTCGCTCTCTCTCTCTCTCGCTCTCTCTCTCTCTCTCTCTCTCTCTCTGTCTTCAATATCTCTCTCTCCCTCTACCTGCTGCCTGTATTCCCTGCCGAAGCCCTAAAACTTGAGCCTCGTTCCTTGATCTTTACTTCTTGAAGGGTTCCTTGGTCTCAGATGCTTAACCCTAAGGGTCCAAGTAGTCCTTACTTATGGTTTTATGTACCCAAAGTCCTTAAATAATGGGTGCTTGGACCCTTAGGGTAAGGGTTTAGGGTCTAGGGTTTATTTTAATCTATGTTCTGGACCGGCTCCTAGGGTTCGGGGTGTAGGGTTTACTTGGCTTAGCTTGTAGTGAGAATCCTACATGTTAAGATGTCGAAGATAGAGGGTTCAATAGTTCTATAATATAGTGAAGCGATGACCATAGTAGCGACTATGAGGCAGATTGTGACTACTTGCTGCAACCACTATGTGACATGAGGCCTTCATCTTGAGAAGGTCGTGTAGAATAGGGAATCAGGTCGAGCACCCTAGCCCTGCAGCCTCAACCTCATAATCGTGGTTTTCGGTGCTGCAGAGTGTCAGAGCGCAAAACGCTAAAAATTGAGTGCTTGAGCTGGGGCTGGGCAGCCCAGAGAGCCCAATGGCTCTTGCTTCAATGAGTAGCCTTCGGGTCTGGGTAGTTAGAGTAGGGTCTTGAGGTGTAAATCTGCATTAAATAACCGGAGCTGATGAGGGGAGGAAATGGTTACTAACCATCCCGGCATTTTCCGACGTCAATGTTGGAGTCTCTGGGTAGCAGTATGGTACTTCGAGAGACCTGCGGCCTGCATGTTGATTCCGAAAATCCTAAACCCTGAACCCCACTCATTAAAGCGACGAACAAACATCTCCCTGAGGTGCTTCGAGTGCCGGGGCCGCGGCATGGACACCCAAATACCTTCCGATGGAGGGTCAATCGTTGCTGACCTGCAAGCGAGAATATCAGAGCAGCTAGACTCGTAGCTAGACCCACCTCCATGGTCCAAGGGACCCACTAATTAATTAGCTGCTCGGGTTTGGTCAGGTCAATATTTCTGGGAGTATATGATCATTACCGGTACTTAGGTTTAGTATGGATTCCTGTGACATTGTCATGCTCGTAGAGCCTACGGATCCTTTTCTGCAGGATCCTTCGGTTATGTAGGATCCGGTATCTAGTTTAGGCAAATGCGGATTGCACGATGGAGGACGAGTCTTTGGCATACTTTTCAGTTTCAGTTTTTTCGGATAGTGCTGAGCGTCCAGTCACTTCAGAATCGACTGCTGGGTGCTTTGGACCGCTAGGGCCGAGGGGAGGTTACGAAGGTTTTCAACAGCGCCAGACATGCATCTTCCCCACGGTTTCTATGGGAGTCTGTTGCGGCCCAGTGGTGGCAAAGTCAAGGGGGAAGCCCATTAGGCCCAACGAGGCCCCCCTTGGGGCCTGTTCACACACCCCCTGTGATTTAAGATGAACCCCTAACAATACACAATTGGGGGGGGGGGGGTTGAAATCAACATCTAGACATTCGGGCTATAAGCGACCGAACTGTTTAGTCAGGGCTTGAAGAAATCGTGATCCCACCAGCAGGTGTGGTTAAGGCCTCGCCCCAAACCCGACTTACACCCCAAACCTTAANNCCTAAGCCTTAAACTCCAAACCCCAAACCCTAAACCCTGATAGCTTTCTTTGGGCATTCTCAGCAAGGCGTGCGGCAAAAATGGCTTTGGGGGGTCGGGTCGTCTTCGGGCGCTTAGACGAACCACTGGAGTCGGGTCGGGGGTTCGGGGTGTTTTAAGGGTTTAGGGTCTAGGGTTCAGGGTTTAGGGTTTAGGGTTTAGGGTTTTCGAATCCCCGAAGCCCTCATGGAAACCCTCATGGTAACCCTTAACTAAACGGTTATACTAACCCTGAAAGTATCCCTTAAACCCTCAACGCAACCCTTTAACCTTTATAGCATCCCTCAAAGCAACCCCTAAACCCTTATAGTAACCCTCAAAGTTCCCCTTAAACCCTTATGGTGAGCCTTATAGAAACCCTCAAAGCAACCTTTAAACCTCTATAGGAACCTTGACAGTAACTCTAACGGCACGCCACAGCCAGGCTTCAGTCATCCATCATCCATACGGCCCGGGCCGTTGCCAAAGAAGTCGATGCCGCAAAGCCCGGAGCGAGCGATGAGGTGTCGCCAGGGCATCCAGGGCTTAGGGTTCTTTGCGGGTGTATACGGGTTTAGGCCCGTTTAGGCTTGAGATGGCTTGAGAGTGCCGGGTTAAGGGCTTACGGGCTTCTAGGGTTTATAGGGGTTAGAGTTAGGATTAGGATCTTAGCGTTTAAAAGCGTAGGGCGTTCATGAAGTCAGGTTCTGGGGTTTGGGTTCCTAGAGTTTTTGGTGCTAAATGGTCGACTTTAGGTCCGTCGTTTTCTCCAGCTTCATAAGGCAGAATACTGATTTAGGGTTTGGTGCAGTTTGGGGTTCAGGGCTTTGGCGTTTAGGGCTAGAGCGGCTAGGGTTTAGGGTTTAGGGTTTAGGGGTTAGTGTACTGTTACCCCGTTTCGAATACCTGATGCCTACCTGATGCCCGGTTGACCTGGTGCCGCCGAAGCCTTGGTCCGGACTCATGTCGGGGCCTAAAGAATTACCAATACTGTTTCGAGGGTCCCGTATGATATTTATAATGTAATGGGCTTTGAAACCCTATTCTAATTATAAGGGCCCTTACAAGGGCCAGGCAGCGAGGGCTGTCAGACAAAGCTGTTTGGGATTTCGGGTTTCGGGAGGGCTGGGACGAGCCTGCGTGGATTTCAGCTTTGCGAAAGCACCCTGCAGAGCGCGAACTTTCGTTGGCGTCATTACCACGAAATGTCGCTCCCTACTCTTTCATCGATCCGAACCCGCAACCAACCGCGGCTTCAACCATGAACCCTAAACCCTAGCATCCGTTTAAACTAGTGTCTTGAGAGTAAGCTGGAGATGCCTTGCCCTAACCCCCCAGGTACCTAAGGGTACTAGAGACCTTAAGGGCCAATATAGTAGGTACCTGGGGCGGCGACTGGACAGTTGAGTGGAAGCCGCACGCCTTTCTTTAGCCAGGAAGATGCTGACATCTTCTTTCTGATGGTTAGTTGTCTGAATTAGGGTCCTTTTTTAGGTTCACCGAAATAGTAGGGCACCCTTATCAAAAGGACCCTCAAAGACCCAAAAGCCTAATTTCGAGAACTACCCAGATGGCCACTGAGAATAGGCTTTCCAAACTTTAGGGTTTGGGGCTGAAGGGCCTGTCCCAGAGATTCCGCCTTTGTCCTTCCCCCCTAATTTTCAGAGTCTTGGCCATGGCGAGTTCTGTCATATGGCAAGAAGAAGGTGCTTAGTCATTGTCAACAACGAAATATACCTCAACCCGAAACCCTAAACCCTAAACCCTAAAACCCTAAACCCTAAACCCTATAGAGCCTCACACTTGCAATGTTGACCTGGTTTTCAAGGAGATCGCGGCCCAACCCGCAGCCACACGATCGAGTGCCACGCAGCAGCTAAAACGAAGCTGACCTGAATGGACCCAACCCTATTCAGGGAGTAAGGTATAGGGCTCCGAATCCCAATAGCACTCAAGGTTTTTTGAGGGCCCCAAAACCACATAAAAAAAAGGCAACCCGTCAAAACAAACAGAACACTGTACATCAACTTGTTGACCCTTGATTTAAAACTGCGTTGAGTTCAACGTTCCTGGTGTTCTTACGGACTCAGCAGAATTCGAGTTTCGGTTTGAATAGCTAGCTTCGCAGTTTGTAGAGTATTTATTGTAGCAGCATAGGCACCCTGTTGTATCACAGGATGTTTCTGAATGTTGGGTTCCGACCCTAAACCCTAAACCCTAAACCCTAAACCCTAAACCCTGAACCCTTAACCATACCCTAAACCCTAAACCATACCCTATACCCTAAACCATACCCTAAACCCTAAACCGAGATGTGAAGAAATAATTTGTCACAGCCCTTACTTGTCGCTTGACCGGGAAGCTCCAGCTCCCGCATCGACCTGGGTTTGGGGTTTAGGGTT